GACTGATGAAAGACTGACGCAAAGTACCTATTTAATAGGTTGGCTTTTTCCTGGGCGTCAGTTGTCAGTTGCCCCATCTGGTCCAGCAGGGGTCCAATGTTGCCCCTGCTTTTCCTCCGGCTCCCCACAGATCTGAAAAAGGACTTCTTATTGTCCTTGATGCTCAAAGCTAGCTGGAGTTCAGTTGCAGCCTTGGCTTTCCTGGTCTGCTCCGTACAGGACCGGACCAGTGCAGAATAATCCTCCTTGGAGGTGACTCCCATCCTCCACCCTTTGTAGGCCTTTCTTGTTAGCCTCAGGAGGTCTGCTAGGTCCCTGGAGAGCCAGGGGGGTTGCTGTGCCCTCTTGCTGCCTTTCCTCCGAGATGGAATAGACTTAGTTTGTGCTTTGAGGATCACTCCCAGACCTCGGTCCATCTTGCCCAGTCTCCTGTGTCCCGTGCGGGCAGAGAGCGGAGCGGGAAGGGAGAGCGACTGGGTCTGAGCAGGGTTTCCCCTGCGCCTGTCCCCCTGCCCCGGCCAGCACCGAAGGTCCAGGAAGCTCTGACCCAGAGGCTCTGGCCCTTGCTCCCCTGCTCAATAGCTCGTAATTCCTGTTGTCCAAACCCTTTATAAACGCTCAGCTTCCACCATGTCTGGTGCCGACAGGTTCAGCGCCACGATGGGTGACAAAGAACTTCCTTATATTAGTTTTAAACTATCTAGTAGTTTCATTTTGTGACCCCTCCTTCCTATCTGGTGAGACCCTGGTGACTTCCTCTTCCCCGTTTAGTGAGTCGTAAACCCTTCTCGTGTCCCCTCGCAAGCACCTCTTTTCTAAACTGAACTAGCCTGGCCTCTTTAACCCCGCTCCGTGGCGCCGATCCTCCTCGCTGCCCTTCGCTGGACTGTTTCTAGTCTCCTTGCTGCTGTTGGAGGTGCGGGGACCAGACCTGGGCAGAGTATTTGTGGCATGGACACGCCGTGGGTTAATAAAAGGGTGTTGTGATACTTTGGGCTGTGTTCACAATTCCCTTCCTAATAACCACTGACATTACACTTGCATTTTGGATGGCGGCTGAGCCAGAGCTGAACGGCCTGCAGTGACTCCCAGCTCTTTCCTATGCGGGAGCAGCTCCTGCAGAGCCCGTTATCATGCAGCGACAGCTTGGGGAGGGTTGCCCACATGCATCACTTTGCACTGATCCACACTGAATTTCACCTGCCGTTGAGCTGCCCATTGGCTCGGTCATGCCACATCCCTGGTCCCCAAATTAAATGGAGGCCTGGCCTCCCAGCCACGTACCTTTGCCATCTTCCAGGTCAATGGCATAGGTCTCCCCCCTGGAGTACAGAGATCCCGGTCTGAGCGGCTCCTCTGGGTGGTTGAGGTAGGCGGCTTCTTCGCTGCTGGAGTGCATGATGGCTGGGGCCGCGGGGGCGCTGGCCGGGTTGCCCAGATAAGCTGCGGCCTGGGGGGAGAACAACGGGGCATTAATGGCTCAGTTCTCACCAAACCCCACTGCGCTGGCGGGAGGAGACGGGGGTGGCTGCCGCACGCCCCGGCACTTGGTGTTACTCCCACCACGGCCAGCGGGACTGGCAGCATGAATCTGGAGCGACGAAGCATTGCCACGTTCTGTTAATTGGTCAAACCATGACAACAGCCTGGCTGGGGGGCTGGGGAGGGGGCTGCAGCCATGACCCGAGTGCGGCGAAGCGCAGCAGGTTGGGATGCCGCTGCAGGTGCCCTGAGCGCGTGTCCCAGCGGCACCGCGCGGAGCAGGACCGCCGGCTCGCCGGTCAGGGCCGGGGCCTTCGTGCTCCCTGCGCTGCCGTCCGCCTGGCTCTTGTCTTCTGCTGTGTTCACAGCACCCAGAGACCTGGGGCTCGTCTCCATGTGCAGCCTCCGGATCCTGATCCTAGTCCTAGTTGGTTAAATTCGGGAGTCTTTAGCCCTTGATTCTGCATCCCATAGACGGTGAGAAGCAGCCTGGGCGATGGTCTGGGGCCTGGCCAGGGCAGGGATCCTGGACCACAGAGGCTACATGAGGTGGGGGACCCTGGACCACCCTGGGGAGCCCAGCACAGTGCGGTCCAGTACGCGCAACTGGCCATTTGGAAGAGGATTTTTTTCTGGGGAAAAAAAGCCCTTCATAAGACCTTTGAAAAACACGATGCATGCTATATTTTGGGGCGTGTTATATGTGAGACAATGCAGCAGCATCTTATGGTCTCTCAGTTTGCTGGGAAAGAAACTGGGGAAATTAAACTTGGAGAGCCAGGACGAGACGCGTCTGTCAGAAACGGCCTCCGGGTGCCGGGGTCAACAGCGGCCGGGACCCAGAGCAGCAGAAAGCCAGAGGCAGAAGTCAGCGCTGAGCTGAGCTGAGCTGAGCTCCCAGGCTCCCCGCCCTCGCAGCCTGGAGGAAGACAAGGGCTCTCGGGCGCAGTACAGGCACTCCCAGAAAATAAAATGACTCCCCCTCCCTCAAAACCAGCGACGACCGGGCAGCAGAAAAGATAACGAGGTCCACAATTGAAAACCACAACTTCTGTGGTGCTGAGACAGACAGTTAGAGAAGCCAGGGCAGCTCTCCCAACCCCAGGAGATCTGCCAGTGGCAGTAGCCACGCACGGCGTGGGTGACACAACGGGGAGAAAAGGCACAGCTCGTCAAAGCAACAACTGGAGAAACATCAGCCGCCTCCAGCCAGGAGCAGGCTGGAGAAGCAACGAGAGAGGAAGAGCCCATCTAGGGTGTCTGCGTCGCCTGCGGAAGAAAAGCCCAGCGACACGGTCCGAAGTGATTCCCTGTGCTTGTCCTGCCTGCAAAGGAGTCCGCTCAGAGGCCACCCGGAGCCACGTTCCCTTCCCCGCAAAGGTGGCTGAGCGTTTCCTAGCTGCACTCGGGGTGGAGACCAGTGGTTCCCAGCCAGAGTGCCCTGGGGTGCCCGGCAGTGTTAGCACTTTTACGTGTGCAAACAGGGTTCACCCAGAGACTTCAAACAGGGCCCGCGGTGTTAAAAGCCCTCTGCCCTGCTTTGATCTTTCTGAGCATATCTACACATGCACTGGTGCGCCGTGGTTATGCATTAGGTTTAGTACCTGTAATAACAGGTACTAACTAAATGTGCAGTCACCGGCACTACTGCACAGCAGCGCCAGTGCGTGCCTTTTACACGACACTAATGCGCAGTAGACTAAGTCTACTGTGCATTCGTGCAATAGCACAGGTTTTGCCGTGACGCACTAATGCACAGAAGAATTAGTCTGCTGCGCTGCTAGCATCGTCCTCCGAGTCCTTTCCTGCAGTAGAATTGTGCTAATATTTTCCTGTAGGCAAACATCAAGGGAAAACCATCACCTGCCATTTTCCAAGGGCTCCCCAGAGTCTAGTGAGTGGTTCCTTGAGTGGAAAAAGGTCGAGACCCACTGGTCTAGACAAACCTGAGAGCTATTTGCAATAGGAACAACCACCAAGCCAAGGAGGAAACACTCAGGCATGAGGGGGAGGCCAAACCACATGAAGCCGACACGGAAGAGCTAAGGCAAGACCTCGCTGGGGTCTCAGGAGGAAGTGAAAAGCAAGGACAGTCGTACGGGAGCAGTGGCACGTTCTGCGAGAACGCCCTGGCGGGGAAGCAGACGTAGCAGCAGACCCAGAGCTTTGTGACTTGGTGGCCTGCTTCGGGCTTCAGGCTCTTTTCCTTGCGCCCAGACATTGTGCTTTTCCTTGCAGTCCTGCCTGGATGAGGCACGAAAGGACAGCCATCCTCATGGAAAACAAAACCGCGGGACACCAAGACCCACCCAGCTACCAACTAAGCACCTCTCCCGGGCAAGCCTCTGTCCTATGACATGACGCAGGGCCGGGCTGGGTGGCAGAAGGGATGGGAACCAAGCACAAGGCGGTGCAGCTCTGGGCCCCGGTGCCTGAGGGAGGGGGTTGATGACCAGAAGGATCCTTGTTCAGTGCCACGGGCACGGGGATACAAAACACTGGGGATGTCCAGACCCCGTGCAGGTCACGGCCCTGGGGGCAGACAGCAGGAGCTGACCCCCGGCTGCCCCTAGTCACTGCTGGGCTCTGCCAGGGCGCCGCACGCCGCGGCTGTGATGGAAACCTTTGCTTCCCTATTTCTCACCACTTGCCCTTGCCATGGTCCTCCACTAAGAAGGACTGAGCTTTACTGTGCAAATGCCCAGCATCACCCAGCCCCCTGCACGGCTGAGCTCACCGCAGGGAAGGGCAGCGTGAGCTCCGAGCCCGGCAACGGTTGCAAGGACCTTTTCCAGTGCCTGCACGGAGGGGCCTGGACTAGACCTCGTGCTGCTGTGACTATCGACAAGGGCCACGGCGTCAAGACCCTGGTTGGGAGGTGATGACGGGAGCTCTTGGCACAGAACATTATAAAGGAAACGGCTCTTGTACAAAGCAGGGCTTTGCTGAGGAAAGAGCTGAGCAAACATGCTCGCAACAGCTGAGCAAATTCAGATTTAACCACAAAACCACAAAGAACACAGAATCATAGAAAATGAGGGTGGAGGAAGCCTCAGGAGGTCAGCTCTAGTCCAACCCCTGCTCCGAGCAGGACCAGCCCCAACTACACCATCCCAGCCACGGCTTTGTCCAGCTGGGGCTTAAACACCGCTAAGGGTGGAGAGTCCACACCGGATCTTGCTAAAACCATTCCCCAGCTCAAGTTGAGTGAAGCAGCTGCAAGTCTGGTCCCGGAAGAAACTTTGTCAAGGGCAGCGAGGAGACGATGCTCAGAGACAGCCTGATAAGACAAGTCTGCCCGTCTGGGTGTGTTCGTGCATACGGGCTTAGAAAAATTCAGTACTTGACAGTGACATCTTAGTTATGCAGATAACCTATAAATGGACAGTTGTCGTCATCGCCTCCTCTTCCCGTGTCCTCACCCGGAGGGAGACGTTGTTCCAGCCGTGCTGCAGCGGGGCTCTCCTGCGCACGGGTCGCACCGAGCAGTTGGTAAACGAGCTGGAGCCCCGGGTCTGTGCTTCGCCGCTCTTGCGCGGAGTCGTGTCATTAGAGAAGCCCCATTGGATCGTGTCTGTTTGGGATCTCCCGGTGCGCAGGCAGTTCAGGGATTGCCTCGTTGGCCGGTCTAGATCTGCCCCCTAGATCTGGCAAGGTCCTCCTGGGCCTCCAGGTCCCTCGTGGCATGCGATCTTTCCTTCCATAACCTCAGTTGTGCCTTGTCAGGCACTGGGTCCAATGGCACAGCACTGGCACGGTTCAAGCCACTTAGTTACTTCTGTGTGACCGCAGAGTGGGCGCCTGGCGTCTGCTGCCTGCCCCGATCTTTCTTTTTGACTCGCTACCCTTCTTCTGCTGAAAAGGCCCGTAGCATGGTAAAAAATTACAAACGTGCAGGTAACAAAAGGCATGAAGCCGTTTGGAAACAGAGGGACATTGAGCTACTAGACCCCTGGGCTACTAGACAACACCCTTGACTGTCCCGGAGAGAGACCCTGGACTGCTGATCAGCAGGATAGGGAGGGAGCCTGGCTTGCAAGGCACCTAGCGCCCGTCTAGGCATGGCGCTCTCTCCTCAATGCACCTGCACCGGGCGAATGAAGACCCTCCCTTGGACATTCAGCTTCCCCAGTCCAAGGTTTTGAGGGAAACGATGCTCCAGGTCTGCACAACAACGCAGCCGCGGACGTCTGGGGAAGAGAAACCCAGTGTGGAGACCGAGGGGGAAAAGCAGGTAAAACTCAACCTGCTCCATGCGCCCGCACGAGCAGCTTGCAGTGCCCCGTGGCAGGGGAGAGGGGCCGTTATCCCAGCTGGGATCACATGCACAATCATCACGGCTTTCCTGGGACACCAGCACCATACCTAGATCCTTATTCATTCCCGCTCCCCATTTACATTAAATGAGGGTGTTTAATCTTAGGAGGAGCCAACAATTAGAGCCCAGCGACGCTGACACAACCCTTTAGCTTCCCAGAAGAAAAAAAAAAGGGGCTACTAATTAATTCCTACCATTTAATAAGAAGGAACTTCCTGCAATTATCACTAGCAGTTTTTCCCCAGCTCCTTTGATTCACCTGAGTAGCAAAAGCAGCAACGTGACTGCTGCTCCCCGTCCCCCCGGGCCAGACCCACAGATGTCACAGGGGAGACGATGCTCGGACGCAAGCGTAAAGGGTCCAGGCCCCGGCCCGGCTCTCCGCAGGCCTCTGGAAGTGGAGGCAGCGGTGTCTTCTGGCCGCGTTCCTGCGGATCTGGAACCAGGCTTGGAAATTCAGAGCAAAAACGTGCTGCGTCCCGGAGGCCTTGGGGACACCGGTCTGAAATTCAGGGTGTCCTGGAGGGCTCAGGAAGGTCGGTCCCTTTACAGTACAGTGAAACCACGAGGGGAGGCAACCCGCCCCGCGAGTCCGACCTTCGGGCAGGTCTTTCCAGGCCGCTCGATTCGGCAATGCCAGGCGTGAGGCTGGACAGCGCGGGGCCCCCTCGCGTGGCTGATGGGGCTGCACGACCTTCGTGGGCGTGTTTCCCAGACCAGGCCTGGTTTCATTCCAGCGCAGGCTGCGTCCGGAAGCCGAGGGCTGGAGCCAGCAGCGCGGAGAGCAAGGGCCGGGCAGGCTGGGCGTGTTGCACCGGCTGTCCCCGGGCACCACCAAAACCAGGAGATTTAGACACAATAGAGGGAAAGTCTCCTGGAGTCAGGGAACAAGAATGCAGCCCCGTGCCTTTCCGTTCCGTCTCGACTCGCCGCTTCCGCGTGTCTCGTTGTTTCCCATCTCTCCTTCCGCCACTGCCTGGGGAGGGCCGGCGTCCACGTGTATTCCGGGATTTTTAATCAAAACCCATGTTTGATTAATCCCATTTATGTTTTATTCCTCTTAGGAACCCAGCCGAGCTTTCGTCTCTCACCTCTGTCTCAGGGCTGGACTTTGGTCCGGCTGGATGCCATGCTGCAGCGCCGGGCCCGAGGAGGGGCTGATGGCGCCTGGCTGGGCTGGTGGAGGAGCCCTGACCCTACAACTGTCCCCGAGAGAAAAGTAAAACCGCCTGAACGACTTGTGACAAGAGCTGCAGAAATGGGGGGTAGGAAAGCGAGCGGGAGAGACTCACGGCAGAGGGACGCGGGAGCCACCGCTCCTCCGCGAGGGGTGGTCCTGGGTTTGTGCGCTAACGGGCTGCTGGAGTCGTCAGAAGTGTGTGGTCGAGAGGGAAGATGGAGGCACAGAAGCGACACGTTGATGATCCCTAGCTCCGGTGCCCGAGGAAGTTGGGAGCTGGCAGAAGGCCCCGCGGTTGGGCAGCAGCCAAGCAGCCAGTCGGAGACAGACAAAGGTGCTGCAGAGGCTTGCCGACGCTCCGCCGTTGAAGCTTGGCATTCACGTCTTCTCCTGCCTGTCTCCGCTGAACCCAGCGAGCCCCGCACGTCGGGCAGGGCTGGAGGTGCTGGAGGGCCGGAGCGTGGGGCGTGTGGACACGGCCTGCCGGGCCCCGCGCTTGTGAGACGCTTAAATACCCAGTGGGGCCGGTTCCTGCCGCCTAGATCTCGACAAACCTGCCCGGTGGGAAGCAGCCAGGATCATCACCTCCACCCACGCGCTGCGCGTGATTTGGCACGGCATCCTGAAACCTCCCCGGCGGCTTCCTGTTGTGCCAGTGCAAGCCGGGAGGAGCTTGAAACACATTTTTCGGAGGGCTGAACGGGGCCAAAGAAGGCCGTCGGCCCGAGCCTTTGGCTGGAGCGTTACCCGGAACCGCCGCTCCCAGGACCGTGGTCCCGGACAGCTGAGCTGGCCATTGTCAGGGCAGAGGATGGGAATCCCCCGCGGACGACAAAACCCCTCGCTGGCACCGGGGTCCGTGTCTCACGCTCCCCTCCTTGGTCCTTAAACCACTTCACAAACCGCGGTGGACTGGGCCTCATCATCCCCTCCTTCCCCACAGGGAAGTAACGCAGCAGCCGCGAGTAACCCATCAAAGCCCCTGGAGACGGTCCTGCCGTTGCACCGAGCCCGGCGTAGCCGCGTGGGCACCTACCTTAGACAGCGCTGTCTGGGCTGGGGCTGGTGCGGGCTGCATGTGGTGGTCTTAGCGTCCCCTTGGCCTCTGCGCGCTGCTCACACATTTGGGTCCTCATGCTCCCCGTGCCCATCTGAATTTATACACAGTCTCGTGCCAGTTTTGGTCCCCCAATTCCTGTCCCGCCTTCTTTGCCTTTCCTCTGGGAAGCTGTGACACACACCCAGGCCCTTCGGAGAGGAATCCTCCGCCAAGGCAGTAATTAGCTGGGGATGAGGTCGAAATTCTGGCTGCGCGAGTGGCAGCCACGGGGCTGAGCACATGGGAGGCGCCGCCTCCCCGCGCCTGAGTCACCTCCGAGCCGCGCTCCTGGCCTGGAGCCAAGCGTCACCTGAACCCGCTCCTGGTGCCATTCGCCCGCGCGCCCTCCGGTGCTGTCTGCCCGCATGGCGGAGCTGGGCCTGGGCGCCAGGGATGCCTCAAAATTGTGCTTCTTAAAGCTGGTCTCGTCTTTGTGTCCGTTCTTGGCACCGGGCTTTGCCCCCCACTAACACGCAGAGCGGAGAGGGAAGGCGCGGACGGGGCTGGATGAATGGCATGGGCCGGATCGGACCTGTGAGCCAGGATTGGGCCCTGCGCTGCCTCTCCCAGCCCCACGCCCCGGCAGGGCCCTGTGCTGCTGGGTTAGGCCTCGCTCTGTCTCCATCGGCCCCGTGCCACAGCATCAGGCCCCGGGCCACCTCTGCCAGCTGGCCTGGGGTCTCCCCGCGGGTCCGCGAACTCGGCAGCAGGGGAGCTGCAAGTGGGCTTCAAACGCCAGCAGAGATACAGTGCCGTCATCAAGGAGGCCACTGAGAGCCAAGATCTCCCTCCCGGGGCTCCAAGGCGCTATTCACCAAGGCGCCCCCGGGGGTTACAAGAAATAATGGCCCCAAGCTAGCAGAGAGCAGATTTAGGCTGGACATTAGGAAGAACTTCTTCAGTTCGAGTGGCCACGGTCTGGAACGGGCTCCCAAGGGAGGTGGTGCTCTCCCCTACCCTGGGGGTCTTCAAGAGGAGGTTAGATGAGTATC